TTCCTTTGTCCATGGGATTCTCCAGGCAACCATACTGGAGTGGTAGCCAAGCTCTCCTCCAGGGGGTCTTCCCAAGCCAGGAATCAAACCCGTGTCTCTTAGATCTCCTGCATTGGCAGGCAGGTTATTTACCACTAGCGCCACCTGGGAAGCCTCTCCTATCTCTCTAAGGCAGTGCAAATTATGCTGTCAATCTGTTTCCTAATTTTCCTTGAATTTGCCTCTTCTCAGCTTCCTGTCATATACTTAATTGGTCTGGCTGATTTTTATAGCCACATTTAGTAGATGACTTTCTTTTCCTTTCCTTTTTTTTTTTTAACAGTCTAGTGAAAGGTTCCAACATGGTATAGTCAAGTGCATTTTTTTACAGGCAGTAAAGAACAAAGTGTTTAGAGATTTCTCAAAGGAAAGCCATGCATTGAATGGAATTTTGGATTTGAGCTGGCCCTGCTTTTAACCTGTGGCTGTTAGCTAAATGAGGCCTCTAGGAAGGGTTGTTGTTTGGTTGCTCAGTTGTGTCTGACTTTTTTGTGACCCCATGGACTATAGCCCACCAGGCTCCTCTGTCCATGGGATTTCCCAAGCAAAAATACTGGAGTGGGTCTACCATTTCCTCCTCCAGGGTATCTTCCCAATCCAGGGATTGAACCCACATTTCCTGTTTTCGGGCAGATTCTTTACCGCTAAGCCATCAGAGAAGACCCTCTAGGTTGTTGTTGCGGGGGGGGGGGGGGGGGGGGGCGTTGTGTTTTTCTTTCTTTAGATTTCCAAGGATGACAATGCTCTTAGAATCAAAGCCCTGGCTTCTGTAGCCTCAGTCCCTTTCCCTTCCACTGGGTTAGTTCGACAGCCTTGGACCACGCCTGCTCCCACCCACCTTCAGAGGGCCCAGAACACGTCCCAATCTGAGGCAGAGGACTTGAAGTAACTTTGGGACTCAGTGTTCCTTACCCTTGGGGTTGATCTCATCCTGATCTGGTGCCCTGATTCTAAAACTGAGCATCTCTCTCATTCCTGAGATTTGGTCCTCTTCTCAACAAAGGCAAAGGGCCCCTCTCTTGGCACCCCTGGCCCAAATCTCTGCATCCAAGGTGTTGTACAACATTCAGGTTCTCTCGCAAGGACTGGGACCTGCCTGCAATGGCCAGGCCTCCTCTCAGGTCCAGAGCCTCTCTTTCCATCGTGGCCTGGAAGTACAAGCGCCTCGCTGCCTGCCAACGGGTCTTCTCTCCTGAGTTCTGCCTTCTTCCCCAGTTGCTCAAAAAGTTCCTCTTGCCAGGGGCTCTTGTTTCCCTCACACCCACCAATATCCTGGGGAGCAACTGTTACCATCTTTTTCATGCTCTGCTGTCCATGCTCATACCTGGTGCACCCCATGCTCCGCCTGGGATAAGCGACTCTCCCAGAATCTGCCGCTCTCCTTGCAGGCTCACTGCCCCCAGTGATGGAGAGGACAGGATGGAGGGCCAGATCGCCCTCCTCGTTGCAAGTCACAGGGACCCTGTTGGTCTTGAGATGGGAGAAGCAGTTTTAAGATCTTTATGGTCAAAACGTTTAAGGACTTGATTACTTTCACGTCTTTGTTTTACATTTTTAGATCCTTTCCTGATAAAAGCTTTTCCTAAGATTCTATCCAAATCCTGGCTCTGAAGTCAGGGCCATATGGACAGGACTCTGTCCTTTTCTAAAAAGGCCATTGATAATAGAACACATGGGCTTTCCAGGCGGCTCAATGGTAGAGAATTCGCCTGCCAATATAGGAGAGGTGGGTTTGATCCCTGATCTGGAAGATCCCCTGGAGAAGGAAATGGCAGACCACTCCAGTACTCCTGCCCAGAGAATCCAATGGATAGAGGAGCCTGGTGGGCTACAGTCCATGGGGTCTCAGGAGAGTTAGGCAAGACTTAGTGACTAAATAACAACAACCCATGTAGGACATCACAGTGCATTAGAGTTCCCTGTGCTACACACTGTGTTCCCAACAGTTGTGTATTTTGTACATTGTATTGACAGTGTGTATGTATCAATTCCAGTCTCCCAATTTCTCCCACTCCATCCCTTTCCTCCTCGTGTGTGTGCGCTCAGCCGTGTTCGATTCTTTTCAGCCTCATGAACTGCAGCCCGCCAGTCTCCTCTGTCCATGGAATTTTCCAGGCAAGAATGCTGGAGTGAGTTGCTATTTCCTTCTCCAGGGGATCTTCCTGATCCAGGGATAGAACCCATGTCTCCTGCATTGATAGTAGTAGTAGTAGTGTTAGTCGCTCAGTCGTGTCTTTGCAACCCCATGTACCGTAGCCCACCAGGCTCCTCTGTCCATGGGTTTCTCCAGGCAAGAATTGCCGTTCCCGCCTCCAGAGGATCTTCCCGACCCAGGGATCGAACCAGGGTCTTTTGCATTGCAGGCAGGTTCTTTAACATCTGCGCTACAGGGAAGATCACTGGTAGGCACATTCTTTACCACTGAGCCACCAGCAAAGCCCCGTGTCTGTGTTTTTTGTTTGTATGTATGTTTGTTTGTTTTGACCGCATCCCATGGCTTTGGGGATTGAATCTGCAACACAGCAGTGAAAGTGATGAATTGTAACCACTAGACCACCAGGGAACGCCCTGTGGTACTTTGTTAAAGAGCCCACGGAAACTAATACAACTCTCATTTCACAAAGTAAGGGATGCTTAGAAATGCTCATTCCCCCAATAGTAAGTGCTTAGAGCCCTTTAATTCCAGATTCTTGAATCCTGGCTTGTTGATCTGGCCCATTAAGTAGAGATCCTCTTCATCTTCTATCAAAATCATATTCTAGATAAATTATATAATAACAGCATTGCACAGGGAAGATTTTATAGAACATTAGTTCTGTGGAATAGTAGAATGTTTCAATGTGCAAAAACGTTTCCAGAGTTAAAAAAGAAATAAAAATAAAGAGGAACACCCTGTATTAATCAGACTATTTTTTTTCTTGTAGGACCTCCTAGAGCTTTGACATGTGTTATGAATCTCCAAGAGAGGGATACTAAAGCTTGCTGTGTCTCTCAGGCTGATTTGAACACAGAAGCCTTTTCTTACACAGAACATCTCATGGAATTCGTAGTTTGTGGAAGATACTTTGGGAAGTGCTGAACTAAAGAAAAGACTTTTTTTTTTTCTTTTACATCATTTACATACCAACCATGTTTTCTAAGTTGCATCTTCACATCAGTCTCTGAAGGAGAATTGAAAAACATATTTGCCATATCAGAAATACATTTGCAAAGCATCCATTTGGGTAGGTTAATTTAACTAACATTTTACCATACTTCTTTTAGTGTTTAGATAATTCTGTGAATTCTCAGAGTCAGTGTGTTCTAGTCAAAGGCCTTTGGGAACACCCCTGTGGTTGAACACCATTGTGTTTATTGACTTGTTGTATCAAGGAGAATGCACACCATGGGAAATCAGAATATCTCAGGAAGAGGGTGTTGGAAAAGAATTATTGTAGGAATTGTGCTTGTGTTAGGTAATTTGGGGGTTAGATTAAAAAATGGAGGACTTTGCAGAAACAAAAATAGTTATTAGTTCTTATAAAAAAAAAACTCTGTATAATAGGGACCCAGACTACCATACCCAGACAATGAAAATATGTCCCCCAAGCCACCTGTTTTTTTCCCTAGACATCTAGAAGTCTGCCCCTACCTCTGCAGTTATGGGCTGTCCTGTAGTATTTACACAGGTAAGGCAAGAAGTGTTTAGTATAAATTTCTCTTTGACTAGAAAAGAAGAAATTAAGAACCATGTGATTATCCATGACAACTATGCCTAGTAAATTTACATTTAAACCAATGCTTGGTCAAAGATAAACAAACCTGCACACTTCTAAGAGTGGTAAGACAGATTTTATTCAATAATATACTCTTGCAATTTTTTCAATAATATACTAGTCCAACATGAACTGAATTCAGAAGTAACTGGATGTTTTATTTTATTTATATATTTTTAAAAAAGACTTATTCATTTATTTGGCTATATCGGGTCTCAGTTGCAACACACAGGATCTTTGTTGGATCACATGGGATCTCTCACTGCTGCGCTTGGGCTCTCCAGTCATGGCATGTATGCTCAGTAGTTGCAGCGCACAAGCTCAGTTGCTCCATGGCATGCAGGATCTTAGTTCCCTGACCAGGGATCAAACCCACATTCCCTGCACTGCAAGGAATATTCTTGCCCATTGGACCACAATGGAAGTCCCTGGGTGTTTTAAAAAGAGAATGAGAGAAAGGAGAGGGGAGGGAGTGAGCAGGAGCTCAGTAGAGTCAGGGAATTTAAAAAATTACAAATAGGAAGGAGGGGTTGGGTCCAAGTGGAAAATATCTGGGTTTTCTAACTGGTGCTTAAGAGATTAGGCTCCTACCCTCCCACAGAGGCTTGAGGCAGAGGCCCTATGTCCAGGTGTTGGCTGGAACAAACACTGAATTCTTTTGGCTGTCTTGGGTTGTCTCAGGCTATGCAAGAAGGGAAGGTTATGGTCATCCTAGATTTGCAGCCTTGAGCTGTTCAAAACTATGTTAGTGCTTTTATGTTAGTTGTTATTCAAGTCAGCATAGCCAAGGTTGACACCTGGTTGACAAGAGGACTCAGAGGAGCCTGGCTAGAGTTTGATCAAGAAGAGAATCTTTGTCAGCTTCCAGAGCAGAAGATGTGTAATTGATGACTTTCTCCAGGGTCAGAGACAAGCTTTAGATGATTTTCATCTGGACACTGAGCAAGAGTTCCCCTAGTTTGAGACTTTAGCTTCACTCAGATAAATGAATGGTTATTCTGCATTCTAGAAGTTTATCATGAAATGAAATGAAACACATAGTAAAGACAGATGGTAAAAGTGTAAGCACATGGTAGGACATAGCCAATATTTTTTGATTCAAGTTTCAAAGAAAAGCTAGTATTTCTCTCTGTTTCATTAAAACCTGGATAAATGTAAGCAATGAGCAGGAAGCAACTTTTTGTATCTGTTTCCTTTTGATTCAGCATGGAAAGAGAACTTGTGTCCTTATCTCCATCCATCTCCGCATCAGAAATGGAAACCAACAGCACCTTCAGCGATCACCATAGCGACAGGAACTGCACAGCTGAATACTTTAAGAGAGAATTTTACCCCATCGTGTACATGGTAATATTTATCTGGGGAGCCTTGGGAAATGGCTTTTCCATATATGTTTTCCTGCAACCTTATAGGAAGTCCACATCTGTGAACATTTTCATGCTCAACCTGGCTACTTCAGATCTCTTGTTCACAGCCACACTGCCCTTCAGGGTGGACTATTACCTCAGAGGGTCCAACTGGATATTCGGGGACCTGACTTGCAGGATTATGTCTTACTCTATGTATGTCAACATGTACAGCAGCATTTATTTCCTGACTGTGTTGAGTGTTGTGCGTTTCCTGGCAACCGTTCACCCCTTCCGGCTCCTTCATACCACCAGCATCAAGAATGCCTGGATTCTTTGTGGGGTCATATGGATCTTTATCATGTCTGCCTCAATAATGCTTCTGAAAAATGGCTCTGAGTTGAAGGGCAATGTCACATTGTGCTTGGAGCTGAATCGTAATAAAGCTACTAAACTGAAGACCATGAACTACATTGCCTTGGTAGTGGGCTTTCTCCTGCCCTTCTGCACGCTCAGCATCTGCTACCTGCTGATCATTCGAGCTCTGTTGAAGGTGGAGGTCCCAGAATCAGGGCTGCGGCTTTCTCACAGGAAGGCACTGACCACCATCATCATTGCCTTGATCATCTTCCTCCTGTGTTTCTTGCCCTATCATATACTGAGAACCCTCCACCTGCTCCAGTGGAAGGCGGATACATGCAGAGACCCACTGCATAAAGCTGTGGCCGTCACACTGGCTTTGGCGGCAGCCAACAGCTGCTTCAACCCTTTGCTTTATTACTTTGCTGGGGAGAATTTTAAGGACAGACTAAAGTCTGCACTCAGGAAAGATCATCTACAGGAACCAAAGTGCAACTTTCCTTTCTGTGTGTGGCTGGAAAATGAAACAAGAGTGTAAGGGATTCATAGGCTGTTCCTATGTCTTGTGTCCACCTTCATTCACACGTGGTCTCCAAAAGACCATGTATTTACACCATTCCCAACAAAGGTCGATTCCCAAGATTTAATTGACCATGATTTTATTATAAGACCTACTTCAAATTTTTCATTAGGTGTATCTTCAGTGTTTGAGCCTAAATAAGGAGTACAGCAGAAAAAATCCCCTTTAGAGTCTTGTAACCAGAAATGTCAGACTGGGAGAAAATGCTGAGCACAGTGACTGCTGCTTCTCATCAAATTCTGTATCAGTCAGATACAGATACAGATAGATACAGATACAGATGCAGATTGAATGCCCACTAGGCATTCTAAATGCTTAGTTTTAAGACAGCCCCAATATTTCCAGCTTCTCTTGTTCCTCGTCCTTCTTCAATCTCCTGTTGCTATTGTTGTTCAGTCACTAAGTTGTGTCTGACTCTTTGTGACCCCGTGGACTGCAGCATACCAGGCTTCCCTGTCCTTCACCGTCTCCCAGAGTTTGCTCAAATTCATGTCCATTGAGTCAGTGATGATAACCATCTCATTCTCCTGAGATACAGCCAACTAACAAAGCTACTGGAGGCCCCAGTACAGATAAGAAAAGCATCCCTAGAAATCAGAAGACTGTGAAGAGGAAGTCTGCCCTCTCACAAAGCAGATCAAGGTCCCCAACAAGAACAGGGGGAGAAAAAGAGAGAGAAGCCCTGGGACAAGAGAGAAAGGGGAAAAGAATTTCATTTTGCACTGAGAGGATTTCTAGTGCAAAATGAAACTCCAAAGGCAAAAGCTACGCCTTTCTCTTGTCAGGGGCTTAGGAAAGACAGGAAGATTAGGAAAAGGATGCAAGGCATTTCCCTAGAGGTGGAGAGATTATGTGCAGAATAGGAAAGAAGGGGGTCAATTTTACTCTTGAGATTTGAGTTCGGGCTGTTCACTACAGTTCTCATCCTACAAGTTAATCCATTTGGATGGGAAAAATCTCCAGAATAAAGGAGATGATGCTAAGGGTTTGGTTGGGCATCCAGAGAGAGGGTGAGCTGGAAGGCAAGTTGCAAAGATTGTGGTACCCCTGAATTTCTATGAAATTTGATGAACATTTTGACAGAACATGAGAAGGGTGGCTTTCTTCTAAGAGAGTGTAGAAAAGCACTGGCTTGAGGGAGGGAGGGTCCTGTCTGCCCACTGAGGCAAAACCAAGGGGACGACCTACCACTACCACTGTGCCCACTGTACTGTCAACGATCTTGTGCCCTATCTGTGCTGGGCCGACTGTGCAAGGCACTGTGCCACGCTGTGCTTAGTCACTCAGTCCTGTCTGACTCTTTGTGACCCCACGGACTGTAGCCCACCAGACTCCTCTGTCCTTGGGCATTCTCCAGCAAGAATACTGGAGTGGATTGCCATGCCCTCCTCCAGGGGATCTTCCCAACTCAGGGACTGACCCAGATGTCCCACATTGCAGGTGGACTGTTTACCATCTGAGTGACCAGAGAAGCCTGTGCAAGGCACTACTCATCCATTAATCCCACTTAACCCTCACATCAAAGCCTGTATTTTCATTTTACAGATGAAGGGACTACAGCCCAGATAAATTAAGAATTTTGTTCAAGTTCATACAGCTCCACAAGAATTTTTAAAACATCTGTGCAGAGGGGCTGACTGGGTGCTTCACCCACCGCTCCCCTTGCAAACCTCCAGGGACATTACTTGAGCATCTAAGTGAGAGTTTTCTTCCTTCATCAGGTACCTACCCCTTCTTATTCTCATGAAAAGACTGAAGGCTGAAGTTTCTCTCTTTGGAATTGTCAGCCCCAAGATAGAGTGGAGGGTGGGAAGGAGGTAGCGTTCTGAAACTAGAACGAGACTGAGGGAAAGTCCTCATAGTGAACAGGAGCCTCAGATTTCTTCGGTCACTCAGCTGCCAGAATGCTGAGAGACTCATACCTTGTCAAGACAGATGTCTGGAGGATCCTCCTATAGGACAGCAGTCAATGACTACTACACATCAGAGAAAAGGGCCAGAACATGAAAAAGCAACAATAAATGAGAGGGGAGATAAAAACATTTTCAGTATGAAAGGTCTCAACATTTTCAACAACTTCCGCATTTTTTAACAGAAACCTACAGGAGAATTTGCTTCTCCAAAATAAGAGAGTAAACCAAGATAAAGGGAAACATGACATCTAGAAAGCAGAGACTCCAACACAGGATAAAGATGAACGAAATTCCTAGGACATTGGTGTGTAGCAGAAAAACAAGAAACTGATTGATTTCCATGTGTTGGAGAGATTTATGTCTTTCTTGGATAGTGTGGAATGAACTGGTAAAAATACACAGGAAAATAAGCAAGTTAAAAGGCAAGGCAATTATTAAATACTAGGGGGAAAGAAACTGATGTTCAAGAATGGGAATAAAACCATAGTACACTACATGGTTCAGCTGTGAACAATATTGACATAGAGAATGTAAATAGCAAAATACTGTGATATAATTTTTTTCAGGAAATGAGGGAGAGAGGTTGTGTGTGGGGGGGGAGGGGTATAAGAAATCTATGTCCCTATTTTTTTTATCACAGAAAATGTATAATAACTAAAGCTAAAGAATGATAACTACCTATATAAAAGTATTATTTAACAATAGAAGCTAAAGCCCAGAATAAACAGTAAAAATGATTGATAGGATTGCCTCTGGAGAGAAGTTGGGTGTGGGAAGATCACGTTGGGATTTCTCTTTTCCTTTTAATAACTATTTAACTGTCTAACTTGTGAATATGTATTGCTGAAATAAAATAAAAATTACATCAAAATGAAATTTTAAACTTCAAATTAATTCTGCCTTAAAAAATAAAAAAGACAAGGAAGAAAATAAAGGCCATCAGAAATGGAAATTGAACACTGAGAGAAGAAAAGAAAGCAGAAAAGGAGTACATTTGGATCTGGACCCCTGAGGGTAGCCCACCCAGCCTTGCCATGGGAAGGAAAGTCCATTTTGAGGTGAGGGGAGTCTGAGGTCAGGGGTGATTTGGCATGATAGAATTTTTTTTTTAGTTGCAAGTAACAGAAAACCCAACTACAAGGGGCTTAAAGAGTCACTATATCACATAACTGAACCATACAAAGGAAAGCTGGGCTTCAGGTCCTATTCAGCCAGGATGTCTATGAGGCTTTCTTTTCAGGTTTGGGCTTGGTCCCAAGGCTGAATCACATCATGGAAATAAGCTGATTGCAAAACAGCCAGGGGCTGCATGCTTCCTTATTTGTATCCAGGAAAAGAAAGAGTATCTCCTGCCCACCTCATCTAACAAAATCATCGGCTTCCTTCTGATAGACCTACTCAGATTACATGGGCTTCCCTGGTGGTTCCATGATAAAGAACACTCCTGCCAATACGGGAGACCCAGGTTTGATCCTTGGGTTGGGAAGATCCCCTGGAGAAGGAAATGGCAACCTACTCTAATATTTTTGCCTGGGAAATCCCCTGGACAGAGGAGCCTGGTGGGCTACAGTCCATGGGCTCAAAAACAAGTCAGACATGACTTAGTGACTAAACAACTCAGATTACACACCAGCTCCTTAATAAGCCAAGAAATAAGGGATTGCTCTGACTGAGTGAGGACAAACAGAGTCTACACCTCAGGAGGGAGTTGAGGGGAGGAGATCAAAATGGCGGAGTAGGAGGATGCAGAGCTCACTCCCCCCCCCACAAACACATCCAAAATTCATCCACATGTGGAACAATTCTGACTGAAAACTAACTGGAGACTGGCAGGAACACTCGTCTCCAATCAAAGCTATAAGAAAGATCCACACGGAATCAGGTAGGAAGGGAAGAGAAACTACTGGGACTCGGAAGAGAAGGGAGATGGCATGGGTGGAGACCCTCCCTGGGGAGTGAGCGGTTAGAACCACATATTAGGCACCCCTGCCCTGGGGTTGGACACCAGGAAGACGAGGCCCTTTGGCCACTTGGAGGCCTGGTAAGACTAAGAGGAGGGCTGTGGGAAGACAGGACTCCACTCGTGAGAAACATGTACACAATATTTTATTCCTCAAACAGGGCGGAGAGGGTGGAGTGAAACTGCACGGGTGACTGGGTGGTTTTCCACAGTCGCCCCCACCTGAACCTCGGAACTGCTCCAGCCCCGCTTGCTTCACAACGCAGCTCCACGCTGGGGCAGGGGCCGCTGCAGGGCGGCCGCAAGGTGGCCAAGGTCAAGGGAGGGCTAGGCTGTGAGGGACAAAGGAGGCTCAGACCCCAGTGGTATCTGAGTGGGGGCGGGGAGGGTAGCCATTCTTTCCCCAGGCAGCTCATCAGAAGCAGAAGCACGTGGATCCCACAGCCCAGGCCGCCAGCCACACTGAGCGCCCGCACAAGCCCTTGTTGCTCCAGCACTGCTCCCCTCTGGGATGGGGGAGCTAGTTCTGGGAGCCTGGAGAGCAGCAGCTTTCAGGGAATAGAGCCAGCTTGGATCCGACCCTCAGGGCTTCCGCTCAAGCAACTTGGGACCCACCCCCAACCCCAATAGGGAAGTGACAGCCACTGAGCAGAGAAGAACCCCACCCCCACCCCCGCCACACACACACACACACACACACACACACACACACCTGGCTCTGACTCTCACCCCTCCACCTCCAGCCCCACCTCCTACCAAGACGACAGCTGCCAGCACATCCCGAGGAAGATGGAACTTGTGTTCAGATCCTCAGGAGGAGGGGACTGGCAACCCACTCCAGTATTCTTGCCTGGAGAATTCCATGGACAGGGGAGCCTGGTGAGCCGGTACAATCCATAGGGTCGCACAGAGTAGGACATTACTGAAGCAACTTAGCATGCACGTGTTCAGATCCAGGTCTCCCACCAAAGCCAGTGGCACATGCAGTGGGTACAGGGGTGACCCAACACTAGGATATCCCTTCAAGACCCCTTCATATAGGCAACAGTTTCTCCTACTTTGACAGAGATAGAGAAAGTTAAGGA